TTCAATGCATTTTAGAATAATTTGCATCTTGTTATACTCTGCCCAAGTTCCCTGGTGGCACTGTGGTTAAGAATTAGTCTGCTAACTGAAAGGTCAGGGGTTCAAACCTACCAGCTGCGCCTTGGAAGAAAGACACAACAGTTAGCTTTCACAAAGATTACAGCATTGGAAACCCTGTGGTTATGTATACTCTGTCTTTATAGGGTCAGGATGAGTTGGGATTGACTCAGCAGCGAGTTACACTTTTCTCTTGATCTAATTCAAGTTCTGTTGCCTCAGATGATGAGCCACTAATGGTCAGTGACCTTACTGTATGTCTATAACTTTTTAAGGTATGGGACAGAGTGGTATTGAGAAAATGCCCATCGGATTTCACTCCTCCTGGGCAGTCAGGGTCATCAAAATAAGGTTAACTAACAGACTTACAGTAATGCAGTGTAATGACAGTAATGCGTTGTTGTTGTTAGGTGCCATTGAGTCAGTTCTGACTCACAGCAAGCCTGTGTACAGCAGGACAGAGCACGGCCCAGCTCTGGGCCATCCTCACAGTTGGTAGGGTTGAGCCCATTGATACAGCCACAGGGTGGATCCATCTTCTTGCGAACCTCCTCCTTTCCACGGCCCCTCCACTTCACCAAGCGTGATGTAATATGGCTCTGTCTATTTCTTTAGACACTAACGCTCCTCCTGTTCATAGTAAAGAATTAATATTTCCCCAATATTATTTCTTCCTTTTCTCTTCTTTTATTTTCTTCCTCAAACTCTTCTTTTATTTTCCACTGAATTTTTGCTTCTCATTTTCTTCTCTTCACACATTGGTTATTTTATATTATAATCTTGACATTTAAATTTTTTGGTTCTTGGCATTGTGTCCCTGTTGCACAGTAACATTTTTGTTCTTTGCCACCATCTGCTTATTTGAAGGTGTGTAGTTTTTCAATGGTGTAGAATCCTTTCATGTTTTTACTTGTCTCAAATGCTAATCTAGGACCTTTATAAGTAGTATTTTTGGTCTTCTTAGGACCCATGTCTTACCATTAATGAGAGCTAGATAAATAGAATATTATCCACTTGATGATACTTCATTACAGTAACCTTTCCAATCATACTAAGAAATAGATAATGCCACAAGGTTATTCCATTGTGTCATAAAGGATCTCTACACCAGGGGTTCTCACCCTTCCCAATGCCGTGACCCTTCAATACAGTTCCTCATGTTGTGGTTCCCCCCAGCCATAAAATTATCTTCGTTGCTACTTCATAACTGTCATTTTGCTACTGTTATGAATCTGGCGACCCCTGTGAAAGGGTCGTTTGACCCCCAAAGGGGTTGGGACCCACAGGTTGAAAACCGCTGCTCTAAACCCATTTTTAACGAGTGAAGGAAGTATGGTTCGGAGTAGCAGTCACTTGTCCAAGATGACTTCAGTTTTAATCATTAGACCCACTTCAAGTCTGAAGCTCCTCCTACTGCATGTGCTTTATGTCCCGCTCCTTGCAGATGAAGGTCCTCCCAGATATGCCTTATGTGCCCTGAAAATGGGGCACAATTCACCTGCCTCCTGAGGACTCCTCACCCTCAGGGGTAATACACAAATGCATCAGACCCATGTCCATGTCTGCCTATTTAGGAGGACAAGACTAAAACAGCTCATGGCAAAAACCTGGGATTCAGACCCAATTCAATTAACCTGGGAGTCAGGAGAGTGAGCAATAAGATGGATCTCAGGTGCTATGCCCCTCCGCTTTTACTTACAGGTCATGGCTTTGAAAATAAAAAGAAGTCTGTTGAAATTTGAGGGAATAGGGAATAGTCTCTAATATTCTCATATTAAATGACATAATTGTTTTTTGCTGAAGATAGTTGATAAGAAGTTATTATAGAATAGTTTTATAGGAGAAAACCTTGGAATGTTCAGCAAGTATGTATGGTCCCAGAGAGAGTACCATTGCTGTAGTGGGATTTGCTTCATGTCTGCAATGAGACAGTGAAAAGATGGTGTTCATACTGTGATCATACGTTCATTTATTCAGCAAACTTTAATATGTGTGATATTTGTATATGAAGGTTTGTATATGAAAGCTAAAGAGGGTTTGTATATGAAAGCTAAAGAGGGTTTGTATATGAAAGCTAAAGTTCTCCTAGAAGAATTTACTTCAGAGGACAGCACTGAAGCTACAGCTCAGGGAGAGGGACATGTCTGATCAGAGCACATGGGAGCAAATGAAGGGGGAGGAAGAGAGAGTGGAGCACATCTTGGCCCACCAAGCCTTGAAGACTAAATCCATTCAGAGCAGCCAATGCACAGAGAGAACCATAGGGCCGGCCCTGTACAAGACAGGCCACCCCTCAGTGACTACAGGGAACAACACTGGAGACACAGTGTGGGCATTGCACCCGATGTGACCCCGCCACATTGAGGCAAAACACTATGGGCATGCAACAGAACAGCAAGGGGGGGAGCAGAGCAAGGAAGTCCTGAGGGAATGCCAAAAATAGACTTTGGGGCCAGGGCATGCACCTCATCAGACTCGACTGGAAAACACTCCTCAAGGTGAACAAACAGACCTTGAACTATGTACAGGCTTTTCTTTCTTTCTTTTTGTCATTGGTTTGTTGTTGTTGTTTGGTTTCCTTTTGTTGATTTGTTTTGCTCTGTCTTGTTTTTGTGCATATTATTATCTCACATTATCTCTGCAGGTCTATCTAAAATAGATAGGTGGGATAAACAATCTAGAGGAGAAAACAATGGGACTGACTTGCGAGGGGGGACATGGGAGAGGGGGAGGTGGGGAGAAAGGAAGTGGTGTTAACAAACCTAGGGACAAGGGAACAACAAGTGATCCAAAATTGGTAGCAAGGAGAGCGTAAGAGGCCTGGTAGGACTTGATCAAGGGCAATTTAACCCAGGAGGAATTACTGAAACCTAAATGAAGGCTGAGCATGATAGTGGGACAAGAGGAAAGTAAAAGGAAATAGAGGAAAGAGCTAGGAGGCAAAGGGCATTTATAGAGGTCTAAATACAGGCATGTATATATGTAAATTTATTTATATATAAAGACGGTGAAATAGATCTATGTTCATATATGTATCAGTTTAGTATTAAGGTAGCAGGTGGACATTGGGCCTTTACTCAAGAACACTTTGTTCTTTTAAACGGGCATTCCATGATGCTCAGCTCCCCTACATGATTGCCGAAGACAAAGCGGGTACATAAGCAAATGTGGTGAAGAAAGCTGATAGTGCCCGGCTATCAGAAGATATAGCGTGAGGGATCTTAAAGACATGAAGATAAACAAGCGGCCATCTACCTCAGAAGCAACAAAGCCCACATGGAAGAAGCACACCAGCCTGTGTCATCATGAGGGGTTGATGGGATCAGGTATCAGGCATCAAAGAACAAAAAGCCCTATCATTGTGAATGATGGGGCATGCAGAGTGGGTACCAAAACTCATCTGTAGGCAATGGAGCATCCCTATACAGAAGGGCCGTGGGGAGGAGACGAGCCAGTCAAGATGCAGTGTAACAATGATGAAACATACAACTTTCTCCTAGTTCTTAAATGCTCCCCTCCTCCCCCAACTATCATGATCCCAGTTCTGCCTTATAAATCCACCTAGACCAGAGGATGTACACTGGTAAAGATAGGAAGTGGGAACAGGGAATACAGGACAGTTGAACCCCTCAGGACCAGTGGTGAGGGTGGAGGGAAGGTGGGGGAGAACGGGGGACCTGATTACAAGGATCTACATATAACCCTCTACCTGGGGGATGGAACAGAAAAGTGGGTAAAGGGAGATGTCAGACAGTGTAAGACATGACAAAATAATAATTTATAAATTATCAAGGGTTCATGAGGGAGGTGGGGTGGGGAGGCTGGGGGAAAATGAGGAGCTGGTACCAAGGGCTCAAGTAGAAAGTAAATGTTTTGAGGATGCTGGCAACAAATGTGCTTGACACTATGGATGTATGTGTGGATTGTGGTAAGAATCATACGAGCCCCCAATAAAATGATTTTTTTTTAAAAGATAAAGTTCTAAGACATTATCTTTTAATTTCATTTTTCATATTCCAAGCACTGGGCTAATCTCATGGTATGATGAATTGATAATTAGACAATGGGAGAGACTGACATGTAAACAAACCATTAAAACATTTACAGTGCGTTATGTGGGTATCTTTTCCGAATCTTGTTCAAATGTGTGTCAAGTTCCAACCAGGCACGTTTAGTCTGCTGGCAGATCCACAGCTCTTTTCCTGAGGTACTGTTTTATCCTAGGAAAGGCACGCCATCTCCTGCCAGGAAAGCTCGTTGGGCCTTTGTCACCGTAGCTATTGTCATAACTAGGTGGTCATTTTCCTCTAAGAAAATTGAACGAGTTATATAATGCTTTACCAAGAATCTCGTTGCTAGTTTTTAATGTGTTACGTTCCTTCTAAGTGTTGCAAAATTTTATCAGCTTATTTTCAAGCCGCCTTGGGTGTTTTACCCGTTTTTTCTATTGCTTAAGTCATACTAGTAGTGCATAATGTGCCCTTTTTCTCACTGCAGTTGACATTTCTGGGTATGTTTTTATGAATACATTTCTTTGAATACTAACCTAATTTTATGTACATGCTTTGCCCCCTGTGCAGAGTAGTAGCAATTTAATAAGCTTTTTAAACTAATGCCTTCAGTGTTAGCTTTAACTAAGACTCCCAGGCCACACCCCTTTTGTGTGTTATTCTCTATTATGAGGTTGTTAAAATATTCCTGGAGTATTTATCACTCGTGATAGTAGCATCTTTAGTGTGATTTTTGTAGTTAGTAGTAATCTCCACACTATTACCCTACACGTTATCTTCCAGGAGTCAGATCACTATGGACACGTGGTTGTGTGTAGAACAAACATGTTTATTCTACTGCTGTTCCTGGAGTTTCAGCACATCTTCAGCCCAGCCCCCTGTTCCGGCCCAGAACCTGACGGAGCAGTGCTAACCTTTGCTGCTTGGTTGCAGGAGGAATGCCAGCTCCTGAGCAGGCCTCTTTGGTGGAGGAGGGCCAACCACAGACCCACCAGGAAGCCACCTCCCCTGGGCCAGGCATGGAGCCCGAGACCACAGCCACCACCCTTCTAGCCTCCGTGAAGGAGCAGGTATGCCCTCCGCTTGTCTTGCTAATGAGTTATTTCTTCAGAGCCTATAAAAGTTAATCTTTGGATGTGTTTTAAATTTGTCTCATGACCTTGACGCCATGACATTTTCTAATTATAAGGTGTTTACCTCCCTGAGTACATTGGGGTGACTGGCATGTAGAGCCGCTCCAGGTGCATATCCGGAACATGCAGGATACTTGTGCGTCTGCAAGTAAGGACAATATCGATGGTGATCGGTGTCTCTGTCTTCACACATTGCCGAGTGTGTGCATGCACGCCAAGCTTGTACAGCCTGCCTCAGCGCGGGCTTTCACGGCAGATCGCTGGCAATCCGTGTCTGTGAGATCCGTTGATAGTTTGAACATGGTGACCTGGGCACTCTCTGGGACCATCTCTGTGATACTTTGTTTTGTTTTGTTTTGGATAAAGGCTACCGTTGTTGTGTTTGTCTGAATCAGAGTATCTTCATTTTGTGAGCTAATGTTCTAAAACTTGTCAAACTGTGCCGGTTTGCTTCAGTGTCATGTTTATGTTATTTCAAGGTACTAATATTATGCATATTTCAAACCTAAGTGGTTTTCTAAATTAGATTAAATGCTTCAAAAAATAGAATTCTGGAACTTAATTTCTTAACATTTGCAGCTTAATAAGGAAGGTAAATGTAAATTTAAAAATCCTGAGATAGCGTTCCTTCCTGCCCTTCCCTTTATAAAAAAACCTTCTCAGAGGGTAGATATGCTGGAAATAATCTAATATCAATATTAAAGTTTTTGTGTTAAGCCTATAGTTAAACTAGTGACTCTTTTTTCCTCAAGAGATATAAAAATGTATTATTTGTATATTTGCGGGGGGTGTTCTTTTAAAATTCGGTATCAGCAGTTCAGATGACTAATGATGACAAAGCGTGAAGGAATACTTAAGTCACTACCTCATTATTTTACTATTTGCTGTAACTTAAGCCACGTATGGAATGAAAGATTACCCCAGAATTATGACATATGTCTGACATTAGAATGTGTTTTCAAGAAACATGATTTCATAACTCATTCTCAGAGCAAGATGTCAAAATATTTTCCATTCCTCACTGAAATATTACGTTTTTAAACATTTTACAGACTAACTAAGACTTTGAGAAGACACAAGAACTTCGTAGCCAGTACTATTTTTATTTTCCATGGAGCTGTAGAATTGCCAACCTTCTATCTCCTTACAGTGGAAAACAGAGGACTCCTTTTATTATAGTGTTTCAGACTTGTCAAGATTTGGCCCAAGGAGCTATAATATGAGAAGGGTCTGCTTTATTGGAAGCTGTTAGCATTAACTATTTTGGTGAAAACTGTAGCTAAATTTATCAAAATGACTGAAGTGGGCTTAAGCTAGAACTAACTGCATGCATCAAACAGCACCAGGATCTCTGTTTGTACCTTGAAACCAGATACCATACAAAATTGAAAAAAGCACTGAAACCTCTTAGGGACTTGGCACTAGGGTTCCGTGGTCATGTTGTATAAGATAGTGCACTCTCCTAGGATGGAATGCACAGGAAATGTGCCTCCACTACTTGCTGACTTAGGAACCTTGCTGTGCCTCAAATTTCTCATCCATAAGGTGATGTGAGGATGATAAAAGTTATTTTAGATCGCTCAAGTGCTCATAGTAAGAATTAATATTGTTATCATCTCTATAAAAGAAGAAAAGAGTCTTTTTAGGAGGATCTGGTGGCTCCACATTGAAATACATATATAGTCATTCATTGAACCTTCTTTTGGACATTGGTATCAGAAGGCAAAACCTTTCTGAATATATAGCATTGTCTATGCTGAGCTCCAACAGAATGAGAAAATATTTGAGACCATGAATATCACACGCAAACAGAATTGTCGTGATGATAATTCACAAATGGTTGCAGCACTACTTGGTGCCAGAAACTCAAGTGATACTCTGAAGAGAACGTGGAGCAATGGATAGATATCATTGCTTACATCAGATGATCTGTGCTGAAACTGTCAGCACCAAAAGTATGTTTTCCTTTGTTTCGTTGACTATGCAAAATCAATTGATGTTTTGGATCATAACAAATTATAGATAACAGTGAACAACAGGAATTCCGGAACATTTCATTGTAGTACTTGTGGGAACTTGTACTTAGATCAAGAGGCAGGTGTTCAAATAGCACAAGGGTTCAAACAGAACAACCACTGCATGGTATAAAATCAGCAAAGGTGTGCATCAGTGGTATACCCCTTCACCATACTAACTCAACTGTGTGAATAATCCCAGAAATGCGACTGCAAAAAAACAGGGCACCGGGATTAGAGGCAGACTCTTTAACAACCTGTGAAAAGCAGGGGACACCATCTTGCTTGCCGTAGGCATAGAGGACTTGACCCACTTATTGATGAAGATCAAAGAGTGCAGCCTACAGTATGGATCACACTTCAATAAAAAGGAAACGGTTCTCAAAACATGATAAACGGAGCAAAAGTTGAAGTTGCCCGGTTTCCATTTAATTTGGATCCCCAATTAACATCCATGGAAGCAGTAGTCAGGAAATCGAACGACATGTTACATCGGGCAAATCTGCTGCAAAAGTTCACGTAAAGTGTTAAAAGCAGAGATGTTGGAGTTTGCAGGCTAAGGGGTGCTTCCCATGCCACAGTCACTTTACACACATGCAGAAGCGGGCTTGAGTAAAGAAGACCTAAGCAGAATGGATACCTTGAATTACGGTTTTGGTAAAGAATGTTTACTAGACTGTGGACTGCTAGAAAAATCTGTTTTGAACTAAGTATAATCAGAATGTTCCATAGAAGTGCTTTGAAAATGATGATGGCAACAAATGTGCAAATATGCTTGAGTCAATGGATGGATGTATGGATTGTGATAAGAGTTGTACGAGCCCCCAATAAAATGATTTTTAAAAATAAAGTTAAATAAATAAATTTTTTTAAAAAGATCTCAGATACTACTAGAATGTAGAACATGAAAAAAAACAAGAAGTGATGGTGGCACACACTTTGGACATTGGAAGAGATCAGTTTCTGGGGGACAGCATGCTGGGGAAAGTAGAGGGTCAGTACAAAGGAAGACCCTCACAGAGATGGATCGACACAATTACCCTAACAGTGTGCTCAACTGTAGCAATGGTTATGACCAGTTGCTGTGTTGTTTCATTTTGCAGGGGTCGCAGTGAGTCATAACCAACTCAACGGCACAAAACAAAAGCAGCAGTATGACAATATTTCATTTCTTTATGACTTTAAACCCTCAAAAATGTATTGCACTGGCCTCACAAATTTGGGCAGTTCCATGAATATAAGACAGAGCACGTGAAAATAAATGTTATTCACACGTCACAGTGTCAAGGCATTTGGTTAAAGATTGGCAATGTGATGCCTTTTAGCAATCTTCTGAATCTTAAAAGTCTGACTGCTCCTTGAACAATGTACTTATTACCACTGAATTATCTCACACAAACTCTTTTGTGCAATTCATGATCAGTAGTGAAGGAAGAAATGATAAGCAACAGTCTTGTAAACAAATTTTTAGTCTATTACGTATCTGAAATTGTATTTTGGGTGGCATAGAAATAATTGCTTCTTCCTCCCCGGGACTATGCCTTCCTCAGCATCTCCTATGTAGATGTTCCTTGTTCCTTGCCATGATGCGAGAATCACATTTTCTCTCTTTTACGAAGGGTAGCCTTTCATAGTTGAGATCAGTCACATAGCTGTATACCTGTACAGGTGTGGAGAAAATTTTTCTTTGACAGGTAGGGGGAAAAAAGTCTACATCTGTTCATGTTCATTGGATAGCCATTGTTTCTCTGCTCACCATGTGTCTTTTGACTGTATTGCTGGGGATTGTCATATCCCCGGGTGTTAACTTTCTGTTTTTCCCAGTGTTTTTCCCTGCGCTACTTTCTTTCTTCAAGAAATTTGTGGGAAAAGCCTTTGGCTTTTGCTTACCATTTCTTCCCCCCTCCCCCATTGTTTCTTCTCCCTCCCTGGCATCCCCATGTTTCAGATCTTATTTTTCCATTTTCACTCACTCCCAAACATAACGGAGAACATGCTGTGGCCAGTCCATCCACCAGTGGGCACAGCCACTCAGGTGAGATATTATGCCTTAAACGATCTGTCCAACATGGACCCCGGTCCCATCTCTTTAGTAAGTGCTCTCTGCCTGGCTCGGTTTCCGTGGTCCCATTTTCCTTTGGGAAAACCCACACCTGGCTCATGTCTGGCAGGGTTGGGTGTTTCCCGAGGTTTACTTCCATGTTTTCCAGGGGCTGCTGATATCTGAGGTGGCGGTCAGAGAAAGCACAGCCAACTTCCTTGTACTGCTGGAGGAGGAGTGGCTGGCATTTACTAGAAGAACATCCAAGAGAGCTATCTATCTGTTTTATTAATTTCAGTCCCCACTTGAGGTGATCCACCGCTTGACCTCACTGTAGGTGACCTTTTGTATGAATTTATATCAGTCCAGTGGCTGACATTACTAGTTTGGAGAGGAACAGGAACATCCTGACAACTTTCCAAGGATGTTTGCTATTTCCTGTCAGGGCCCATCACATAGGGTGTGGGTTGTGAATGTAGACTCCAATCAGATTTCTGCTTTCTAGCAAACATCGGCCTCTAGCAGCCGTCCTTTGTGCCAGCTGTAAGGGGGGACCGACAAGTGCCGCAATTTCAGAAGCCCGAGCTGCAGGGTCCACAGGGAGATCGGTGTAGAGTACTGACCCTGGGAGCAGATTACACAGCAGACATTTGTAACGTTCAGGCAGCCAACATTTAACCTCGTGGTGGTAGTGGTTGTTTCACATTCTAGTAGTCAAGTCTTGTTTCTCTCAGTCTCCACCCTTGCTTCTAATAAAAAGCAGCCTCATGGGGGCAGACTAAACCCAAATGACCCTCAGGGAGGTGTATCCAGTTGGTTTCAGTGGACAGAGAGCTAGGGCGTCCTGAGGGAAGCAGACTCCATGGCAGTGCACTTCTGTA